TTACTTGCAGATGTACCATTTCTCTTCACTAATACTAATAGTGAATATTTTAGCAGCCGACTGCCATGACATTAGTCTTGTACTGACTTGTTTGGTGTGCGCAATAAGAAATATTTCGCTTTTGGAGAACAAGAAAAGTAGGTATATTTGCTTATTAATGTGTATGCAGTTACTCAGTGTTTGGTAAGTTAATGTTTAAGAAAAAATGTTAATTTTTATTAAAATGTTCTATTATTTTATGTTAACAATTACTCGTTTATTTCAGTCCTTTGTATTCATGTATCCATTGAAATAAACCTATTTCTATGAAAATTGAAGCTTTTGTTTTTTTGCAATCCACATAAACTTTTTTAGATAAATATTTATTGTTCATATTATTACAAATGTTCCTCATTTTTTCCCCCCTCCATTGCTCCCCTCCACCAGGTTCCCACCCCACCCTCTGCCTTTTCCTCACCCCCCATTGTCCTCATCCATAGGTGCAGTTTTTGTTCAGGCTCTACCCACACCCCCCAACACCCCTTTTCCCTGAGAAGAGTTAGTCCACTCCGCTTCCATACCTCTGATTCTATTATATTCAACAGTTAATATTGTTCATCAGGTTTTTTAATTCCCTTGGCTTTTATTTGTTGATAGTTATGAATTTGTTGATCATAATTTTTATCTATATCTTCTTCCTCTTTCTAAAGAATCCCTTTCAGCAATTCATATAATTCTGGTTTGGCAGTGATGAACTCCTTTAGCTTTTTTTTTTTTATTTGTGAAGCTCTTTATCTAGCCTTTGATTCTGAGTGATAGCTTTGCTGGGTAGAGTATTTTTGGCTGTAGGTTCTTGTTATTCATCACCTTGAATATTTCTTGCCATTCCCGTCTGGCCTGCATGGTTTCTGTTGAGAAATCAGCTGAGAATCATATGGGTGCTCCTTTATAGGTAACTACCTGCTTTTCTCTTGCTGCTTTTAATATTCTATTTTTGTCTTTTGCTCTTGGAATTTTAATTATGATGTGTCTTGGTGTGGTCCTCTTTGGATTTCTTTTGTTTGGGGTTCTGTGCGCTTCCTGAACTTGTAAGTTTATTTCTTTCCCCAGGTGGGGGAAGTTTTCTGTCACTATTTCTTCCAGTATTCTTTGGGTATCTTGCTCTCTCTCTTCTTCTGGGACCCCCATAATTCTGATGTTGGCTTATTTGAAATTGTCCCAGAGGTTTCTTACACTGTCTTCACTTTCTGGATTCTCTTATCTTCTTGCTTCTGTGAAGGAGTGTCCTGTGGCTCTTTGTGTTCCAAATCTTTGACTTGATTCTTACGATCTTCCATTCTGTTTTTAGGACTCTGTATAATATTTTTTTATTTCAGAGAATGTATTCTTTATTTCTGGTTGATCCATTTTCATATCCTTATAGGTCTCGTTTATTTTATCGGCCTTTTCTAGGAAATTCTTGAAAAACCTTATAAGCATGGTTTTGAACTCTATATCCAGTCGCTTCTTTCCCTCCATTTCTTTTGTTTGTGATCTGTTTCCTTGTCTCAGCATTTTCACAGATTCCCTGAATTGGTAGGGTGGCTTTCTGTGCTAAGGTGTCCTATATGGTTCAGTGAGTCAGCCTCCCAGTTACTTGAGGTGGACAGTCTTGGTATAGCCCTTTGTGGGCTATGTGTGCAGTCTTGTTGTTAAGCCTTGCTGTTGTTGGTATCACTGGGAAGTGTTGATCTCCAAGCCAATTGGCTATGAGGATCAGAAGTGTCTCAGCTAGGAGGGTTTCTGTATTCCGCTTGAATGGGTCAGGGTCTCAGGGTGGCACAGACAAGCTTTTTTGAATCCTGCACAATTGGTTGCAGGCACAAGCACCTCTTTGGTATAGGCGCAGACAAGCTTTAGATTCCTGAATATCACTCCCCAGGAAAGTCCCATTCACTGCGAACGAGAAAGCTAGCTACTGGAAGAGCTTCTGTGCTCCGCTTGGATGGGGCAGAGTCTCAGGTGGTGCAGACAAGCTTTATTCAGCTCCTCCCTACAAGGGTCTTGTTTCTGAGTCCTGCAGTAATGGCTGCTGGCTTCATACACCTCTGAGAGATCTCTGCCCACTGCCTGACAGTCTGGCCTCTCCTTGTCTGAGGACATCTATCAGCGCAATAGGGTGGTTCTGTTTTCCTCCCAAACAGGAAAGCTAGCCACCATGCATTAGCTGTCCGCCCTCTCCGTGCGCAGGGCGTAAGCTAGTAGTGAACTCAATCCACCCTCTCCATGCTCCGCAAGCAAGCAGGCAGCAAAGTAGGGCGGCTGCCTTTTCACACGCACAGTTCTCTGTACCTTCACAGTTCCTGAGGTTCAGCGTGCCTTCTCTCTCTACTTCCCAGATGGTAGAGCCTCCTCTAAACCAGCCTTACAGCACTTCAGGGCGATGTTTCCCCTGTTTTTCAGTTCTAAATTCAAATTTGTTGTGATAGGCTGCATTCGGGTGTCTACCCTATGCCACCATCTTGGTTTTTCCCCCCACATAAACTTAAACCTTGTTTATTTGGCCCATGTTAGCCTTTGAGTTTGACATGCTTGCCTAAAGGGAATGAAGAATTAAATGAAAAGCAGAACTAGAATAGAGGTTGAAACTTACAGGGAGATTTTGACTCAATGAAAGATTTTGACTCCCTTTCAGCACCATGTGACCTTTTTGCTTTGCCCTTTAAACATAGGGTTGACATATTTAGCAAATTAAAATACAGAATGCAGTTAAATTTATATTTCAGACAAATGACAAATAATGTTTTAGTGTAAGTACATTCCATCCAAAATTTAGGATATACTTATACTATGTTTATATCTGACTTCTCTGACTTGAGATTTACTAATTATGTCCTCTCCTTAATCTGGCAATACTATCTGGAGGCTCTATTATTATTTTTTTAAATTTTATTTTCCTTGAATAAAGGAATAAATAACTGGTCACATTTAACCCCCCTATTCTGCCTCCCAAATTTCCTCCCCTTTGTTAACCATCAGCTATTATCTATATCTATGGGTTTATTTGTTTTGTTTTTAGATTCCACTACTATAAAGGCTTTAGAGAACCCCTGGCATTACATTTTGAGGAAGTTGGCTTTATGTTTGGGAAATATTCAACGACTTGTGTCCGAGGAATGTGTAGGATGGAAACGGGACTATGATAGTCTAAGTAAGCGATTGCCCTATTTTCTTAAGACACTTCCTCCTCCATTTTAGTTCAGCAAAACTATAAAGAGAGAGATACTACTTATAACAACCACGGGTGCCCATGACAGGTGCTTTTGGCTCTAATGGCAGAATGTTTTATCAGACCTGGGGCTGATTGATAGACATACAGTGTGTTGGGGTTTTTTTTGTTTGTTTTGTTTTGTTGTTTTATTATAATGTTGATTGCTAGTGAAATGCCTTTTTCATGCAAGTTGATTAATTAATATGTCCATGCCTGGGGAGAATGGTGGCAATCTCTTTCTGCACCAGGGCATGAACCAAGAGGCATAAAACATTCCCAAATAATTATTTTAAAGCCGTCTTGTACTTCTCTGAGACCATGGTTAGTCATCCTGATGCCTGTTTTCCTATGCTGCCCCTGGAACTGCTTTTCTGCTTGTTTTGAACAGACTGTGACTAGTTCACCAACGATTGGAACACAGCAGCAGTTGGTCTGAGACGAGAGACTTGCAGTCACTGACTGTTACCCCACCCTCAGCATCCTCTGCAGAAAAGGAGAGGCAGGATCTCCAAGGTCATTCCCAGAGATTGTGCTTCTAAAAACAAGTCTTAGTGGTCTTTAGACATCAACTAGTCTTTCAGCATCCTCCTGGCCTTCAGTGAATTAGTTTATGTTCAATGGGACTTGAGCATTTGGTTCACCTCCTTCAGTGTGGAGATAAGGAAAGTTAACTTCATGGTAGGTGACAAGGTCCAGAGCTCTGCAGCTCAGTAAGTGGCCTTCCATTCCTCCTCCTCAGTGTATCGTGTCTTTCTCACTCACTTTCACTAAAATTTCTCATAGTTCTCCCCTCAAAATGACAAAAATGACAGAAGGCAGGGCTGAAGTTAACAAAATGAATAAAAGCATTCAGGGAGAGCATGCACTGCATACTGGAGTACAGACTGAAGTGTACACAAAGGGAGGGTCCTTGGCTGTTCGTCCTTTTCTGGAAAAACTCCTAGGAGACACGAGCTTTGCCATCTAAAGACAGGTGCATCCAGAGTACAGTTCAGTGGGATACTCACTAAATATTACTAGTGATGCCCCAGTTCCTCCAAGAATAAATAAATACTAGTGAAATCTCAAAGAAGGAATTCAATAAAACTCCATCCCAACCATTCTAAAATAGGCATAAACTGTTTCACATGTCCTTTCTTTTTACAGATAAATTGAACTGAGGGTTGAGAGGTAACGGGCACAGGAATCTCTGGATTGTAAAGGACTTCAAGAGACTTATGGCACTATTTTCAAGTAATAGGCCTCATTTGATAGGTACACTATCCTAGGGTGTGTACTTACATGATGTACACAGATCCCCAGCCAATATGTGTTGAGTGAATTAAAAATAAAGAGAAAAAAAACAGGGCTTTGGAAACATAAGGGTCCTGGTTCCGTCATTCACTAGTTGGTGAACTTGAGCAAGTTTTTAATTACTCTAAACTTCCAGTTCCTTATTCATAAGATGCAGATGAACCACCCCTTTTTCAGGATTGTTGTGAAGAGAAAATGGCATAATAAAAGCAGTCAATGAGTGGCAGCTATTATTATTGTACCTGTGAATTAAAACAAAACTTAGTAACATTGTGACACTATGATTTTGTAGTCTTTTTCATGCAGACCCATTTTGAGTTAGTTGCTTTGTGTAACTGCCCACTCTGGTGGATACTATTTGATCCCTAAGAGTGTTTAAGGAGTGACAACAGCTAACAGTGGAGTGCACGCCAATTGTTTTATTTATGATGCCTATTTGATGACAAACCAGGAAGGAGCTTATGGCCCACCCATGTGATTACTCTACAACGCGGTGGAAAGACTGCACAGCTGGGGAAGCTGCACCCCATTCGATGGGCTTCCGGTACTCCTTCTTGTCCAGAAGGTACTGCCTGCCGCGATAGTTGGGTAACTCGTAGAAAATCCAGGCACCCTCCAGCACCTTACAGGAATGGATTTCTCGCATGTGGAACTGCTCCATGATGGAAGGACAGTCTTCAGTAGTTTCATACATCTGACCATTAAAATCACCTTTCTCAAAGATCTGAATCTTATACTGGCCTCCACTAGACTAAAAAAAAAAAAAAAAAAAAACACAGAAGGAAACAAACAGTAACCATTATGGAAATCACCAGCAGGTCAGAGACTGAGAGAACAGGATGGTTCAGAACCCACCATCTTGAAATCTAGATGATCCGAACTCCCATTCCCACTGTGCACTGACTAAAGCAGCTGACTTAAAAACTTAATTCCTTAAAATCCTCAAGAGGTAACAAAAGTGCTATGGAAATAATTAGGGTATTCAGTCTTAAGAAGAACTGACCTAAGATTTTATTTAAGCTTCCACAGCCAAAAAAAGACAGCTTCCCTTTAAGATGTAGAAAAACCTCAAAATAAACTTTCACATAACACAAAGTGGGTTAGGGGGTCAGGAAGGCCTCCCCAGGGGCTGTCTCTGACATTTGAGTGAAGGTGTGCTAGGCAGAGGGAAAGGTTCAGGGAAGGGGTTGGACAGGAGAAGGGAGGTTAGACAGGCACTGCTCTCATTTCAGGAGCACCGGGAGACCAAGTAAGGGCTCCCAGCAGGTCTGAGCTGATTCTGGGTCAGGAAACAGAAGCTTGAGGCTAGGCCAGAATTTGACCCCACATCTGGCTGGCTCCCAGGCCTGTTTTCCTATCCACAATAGTGGACAAATTGGCTGGACACCTTCCCATGGAAATGCAAATGAAAACCGCAATGAGATGTCTGTGCACTAGGTTGTCCAGCATCAAAAAGAGGGCCAGCCACAAGTGTAGGTGAGGGAGGGATAGGGAGAGCGCCACCAGGCTCACCAGATGGACAGCCTTGCAGGAGCCCAGGCGATCGCTGAGGCCCATCCAATGCTGGTACTCCGGGTACTCGCCCCGAGGTAGGATGTACATGTACCCAGCGAAGTTGGGCCTTTCATAGACAGCCCAGGTGCCTCCTTCCACTCGAATGGAGTTGCAGCGATTCAGGTACATGTGGAAATCTGTACAGTCGCAGTCACAGTCATAGTGGCGGCCTTGAAATTTTTTATCTTCATAGAAAGTAATCTGAAGTACAGGGCAAACAAAGAGAACTGAGGAGTTGGGTGGCATCATTCATACATAAGATAAAAATTAAGAGCACACTCCCCACTTCAGAAATTCCTTCCTTCTCTATTTTTGCTCTACCTCTCCTTATAACATTTACCTTCTGACAGACAATTTTGGTTGTCAACGATAGGAATGAGTACTCTCTGAGGGCTTAACATAAAAAACAAAAACAAAAAGTGCTCTAATATAAGCCGACAATTTCAGACTCAAGCTCACTTTTTGTTCCCACAGCTCACTGTACTTATCACATTACATAATAAATTATCTACTAATATGTCTATCTCTCCCACCGGACCTTCTAGTGGACTTCTTTCAAGGGTGAAAACCAAACCTCATTTAAGCTAAAAACTGCTGTGCCTGGCACTTAACAGACCCTCAATAAATGTTTGGTGAAGGTGAATGCAGACATTCACTCTAGATGAAATGGAAGAGACATAGGAAAAATACACATAGACCTTAACTTTAGAGAACTTATTTTAATGGAAACAGAGCATGGAAATATACCATATTATTTTCTGTATTATTTTATTGCCAAGAAAATTGTTGCAAAATAACAAAATGTTCTGTTTCAAGCTCTTCCCCAGTTTCTAACAGAATGCTTGGGGTACCCCCTTGGATCTGTGATGGCCTTGGAAAACATGCAGCCCTGCAAAACTGGAAGTAATAAACCTGGGCTCTCGAACTGCATCTCCGTAATCAGCCCCACTACCTTAGTCAAGCCGTCTCTGGGCTCCAAGTTCCCATTTGCCAAATCAAAGAGATAGACTACATTGGACGCCCTGGCTGTGAAATAAAACTCGGAGCTTTTCTGATTGAAATAGGGGATAGAGTTACAAGAAATAACCCAGGGCTTCACAAAACAGTGTCCAACAACTACTAGACCAAATGGGCTATAATTCCTCAATCCAAGATCTATGCTAGGTTATCATTTAAAACTGAAATCACAGGCTCATTGATTCAAAGTTAATTCCCTGGCATTAGGCTGCCACCTTGTGACTATTTGCTCTATCAGCTTAAAAGGAGAAAACCAGGAGGGGCAGAGCCAAGTAGTCTGGAGGATTTCCAAGGTGAGGCTTGAAGGATTAAGTAGGGTTTTTTTTCCATAGGCAAAGGAAAAAGGATAGCCTGTTCAAAGGAATAAAGGAGTGAGAGATTATGAGCCATTGTAGGGACCATTATATTGAGTATTTGTGAAGTATTAGGAAATAAAGGCAGAAAAGAAAAACAGGAACCATGCTAGAATCCCTTTGGCGATAATGTGGGAGATGTACCTGTTTATTATGGGCAAGGTAAGTGATGAGGGCCAATGGAAAAGCAATGGCAATGTGAATGATGATGAGAAAACATGCAAAAGAAATTTAGGGTTTGGTGACTAATTAGATGTAGAGAATAAAGGCGAGAAGAAATGAAGAATGGCTCACAAATGGACAAAAAACCTCATTCTCTTCCACCCCATGTAGTTCTTTCTAGATGGTTCTCTACTAATAATTATTTCCTTCCATCTTAATCTCTCCTCTTTGCCTTTCCCATTTCTTTCAACTCTTTTATTTCTTGTTCCCTAAAAGCTTCCTTCCCACCCCTAATTATTTACCTTATCTCCTTTCACCCCTTCCCAAATTCATCTCTTCCAGCTCCCTTTCCCATTTTAGCACAGCACATACTAGTATTTAAAGATACATGGTGTTCCTGTTTACAGATTAAAAAACAAAAACAAAACAAAACAAAAAAACAAACCCAAACAAAATAAAACAGCAGCACCACTAGTCAGTCACTGGCTCTGTGACTTGAACAAGCCATTGGATCTCTTTGAGGCTCGGTCTCTTCATTTGTAAAACTGGATCATCGTATCTACTGCACAGGATTGCTCTGAGGGGTCCAATGGAATAATGTAGATAAAGCAATTAGTTTAATACCTAGTTTAAAATTGCCAATAAGCTTTTCATATAGATGTTACAGAAAAATAAGTTAATTAACTTGCTTAAGGTCACTATCCAATGATCAGTTAGTTGCAGGCAAGTGAGTGGACTGCAGTGCAAATTCCTGGTTAGTGATCTGTGGTTCATTTTATTTTACTTTACTTTCCCTTTTGCTGTCTTCCTACCTGAACAGCTATCCCTGTTTGACAAACAGCATTTACTCTTTTAGATACAGAACAAGACTGATCCTGAGTCTGAGAGTTTTTCCCCAAAACCTGTGGGAAGATCTTTAGGAAAATCAAGGTAACATTTCTATGAATAGATAAACCCAAAGACCTTAATTTAATTTGGTTTTCAGCCAACTAATCACAAGAAAAGAGGCTTTGCAAGGGATATGTTATGGGAAATTAAGTTAGTATCATGTTTTTCCTTCATTGTTTCTCACATTTACTGCCCTCTGCAAATGTGCCTGACTAACATCAATATCTGAGAAGTTAAATATATGCGATATTCTACAAGGTCACCTTGCTGTCCAACCTCCCAGCAGAGCAGCTAACCATCCCAAGATTGAAACAAGGCACTGATGTTGCCATGGAACTATTAATGAGCTCCAGGACCAAGCTCACCTTTCAGGGAGGCCTTCTAACTCTCAGGGCCCAGAGAATGTTGCAAATCTACTCACTTTCCATTTGTAGTCTATGAAGTCTACTCTATAGTCAGCTAATAAAAGGTTTTAACTCTTGGGGGTGGGAGGAAATTCTGCAGAAAAGGCTAAGATTTGTGCAGAAGATTTGCCTAAAATTTCAAAATTCCTCTTGTTTTCAAGTTGACTTTTTGAAAAATAGCCTACTAATCCAATGTGGCAGAAAGAAAAGTGTCTCAAGTATTCCAGAGGCAAGAATTTGCCAAGCCCTTAATTCCTCTCATTAAACTACTAGCAAGACACTGGGACAGGGAGAATAAGAGAAAGAGATGCTGTCTTCTTTGGTCTAGCAAACAAAGATTATTTAACTTAAGCAAAAGCCGAGCCACAAGAAATGAGAGAGCACACCATTACTACTTCGGAAATCTCTGAAAGCAGGGATATTTCCATCTAAGATGGTTTTGTATCTCAAAGTACGTGGATATCTCTCTAGGACTGCACATTCTCAGTGGGATGTGCTTGGCATATTATCAAGAAATTCAGAGAACTAAAGACACTGTCTCATTTTTCTCCTTCTGAATAACAAGTATGATTATTCTGTTTTCCAAAAGGAAAATTGTCAGGCACTAACCAGTTCTAGAACACATTAATAGGCGCTCTCTAAAATGATGCAATGGGTTTGAAAATTTTCCAAGTAAAAAATCAGAGGGAAGGAGGGCAAATCAGGAACCAATGGCTTTGCTTTAGTCGCTGGTAGTGGAAGAGCTAAAAAGAGAATGAAGGAACATTCCCTCATTCCCTAAGTCCTACCTCGGGATCAAATAGCCAGTTCAACAATTGTAAATCACATATTTAAAGGCAATTTCTTAAGTTAATACCTCTTTATTTGGGGCAAAGGGTAAGAGTAACTGCTTGAATGAAGAGGATATGTAGGATTTAATTCTCTTGATTGTTTCATCCACCTTGACCTTCTAAAATATTAATGGTTGAGCCTAAATTTCAAAAAACAAAATTTCCATTAAATACCAACAGCTTTCTAATTCACATAATCCTCTGATCAGCATTCCTATTCCTGTGGAAGTTCATGGAATATTAGTTGCTGGAAGATAGTAATCACATATCGTATACTTGTACAGTATTCAACATAGCACCACACATACTGATAACCCCTTAACAAACTGATAATTCTGCTAGAGTAGAAAATATAGTATTTCTTAATCTTCTCTTCCTATCCCAACCTTCTAAACACCATCATACTCACCTGCAGGGAAAGTAGCTAAAGTTTTCTACATGTTTTTTTTTTTTTTTTTTTTTCAATGTATCATTAGGTAAAAAGAAAGCAGTTAGGCTAAAAATCAGCACGACAATTTACTTACCTTTGTTCCAGTTTTAGACATTTTTTGATGTGTTTCTCTAGTGCAGAAATCCAGGAATAGATTCAGAATTAGAGGCACAGAGACATTTATACTAGGTTGGTTTCAAGTCAAACATTTGCTTGGTCATGAGAATAGAATCCAAAAATTGAGTCAGTCATTCAGAAACTATTGATGGTTTCTAGAAAAACAATTGGGATTATGAAATAAAGGAAAGCTTCAGTACCCACTTTCATGCTTACCAAGCCTTGATGAAAAACAGACTTTGCTGAGTCAAGACATCAAAACTCAGCCAAAGTTTTTAGAATAAAAAATAAAAATGGTCCTCTTACCCGGTAAATTTGGTTTTCTAAAAGCAGCCATCTTGAAATCCTAAATATATCTTTTTTTTTCTTCAGAACTTGCAGGAGATGAGTCACAAGGATAAACTCTATTTCTGAACAGAAGTGGTATGTTGCAAAACAACAAAATTTACATAGCTTAAAAGCAATGCATGATCTTGTGTTTGAATAAAAAAATCACAACAAAGGACATCTTTGTAACAATTAGCAAAAATTTTAATATAAATTGTAAATTAGATAAATTTTAATATAAACTGTAAATTAGATAGTACCAATGTTAAACTTCTGAAATTCAATCATTGTACTATGACTAGCTAGGTAAGAGAATATCTGTTTTTTTTATTAAGTAGATGCTAATGTATTTAGGCAAAAAGGCCCAAAATGTCTGCAATCTACTCTCAAATCATTGAGCAAAAGAAAGTAATCTATATACATAAAAGACTAATATGCAAAATGTCCCTGTGGGAGTTTGGGAATTCTATCACTCACTATAATGTGCGCTATCCACCAAGGGATGCTGCAGAATAAAGAAAAGCCCCAAATGGCCCTGATTGCTGGCCAGGCCTTAGGACCCCACCTGTGTACGAATTTCGTGCCCTGGGCCTCTAGTAATACTATATAAAGAGTAGTAAAGTGAATGTTGCAAAATGTTAACACTTGGTAAATCTAGACAAAAAAATATGTAGGAATTCAAATTCTTACAACTGTTAAGTTGGAAATCTTTTAACCACACACGTGTGTACACACACACACACACACACACACAAAATTCTAATCCATAAGAAAGGGTGCTACATACATAGCTTGAACATAAAGCTACTACAGGGACTCTTGAATTTGCAAAGGTTTATCTAAGCCAGGTGGCATTTCTCTGCAATATCATACTGGGACTTGTTTAGAGAACATGTTGGCATTTAATATACCTCTGACTTTAAGAATGAGATTACATTTTATATATGCTAAAAAAGAGCACACCACACGAAAAAAACCCCACCTCAATTTTACTTTTCCTGGTCAAATATATTTTTCTCAAAAGTCCAACTTCCTCATCTTTCTACTAATCAAGTATCCAACAAATATTTTTATAAATAAGATGCCCCAAGATACATTATAGTCAATTCAGAAAATGATAGATGTGCCTTGATATGAGAAACAAAATATTAAATTATATGTGTAGTTTTGAGACTTTTATAAACTTTAAAGAAATTAATACCATTATTTTTATTAACCAATAGCAATTTACAAAACACACTTCTATTACTCCAGTGTTTATTTGATAACACTCTGCTTGTTTACATTTTACCTTAAAATAAAAACTATGAAAACCTCAATTAGAATAGAGTCTGAAGTTTAATTTTCATTTTAGAAATAAAAGATAAAGCCCTTTTTTGATATAATTACTAATTAGTCAATGAGCAGATAAAACATTTATCAGCAACTAGATTCATTTTACTAACTTGATAATTGTTTTCCATTATCTTAAAGAACACAGCTTTCACAGTCAAATGTAAACTTTATTTTGATATAACATCATAGAATAACAAAGGGAACCTTTTCAAGAGTTATAAGTGAAGCTTAACTTTTTATCAAAAGGAGAAAATTACTTTTTAGAGCTTTGTTTATTGAAAATCTGAAGCAAAAAATGAAAAATAAAGGCTTTACAGTTTCATACTTTAAGGACTAAAATGTTTTTATATAAAACTATTTCTGCTATATTTATATACCAACAATCATACTTTCTTTCCAATTATTTTTTAAGAAAGTAGCTATTTCCTCTTAAATAGTTACAAAGAATTATAGAACTCTTAACACCAGAAAGGATGAAACCCTTTTATCAGACAAATTAAAATGTGAAGTAAACTTTTAAATCTACATTCAATCACTGTAATATGAACAATGGATTGACTTCATCAACTTTTCATTTTGGCATCACAAAGATGAATCTACTGATGTTCTATAAACAGTACATTTATATGGTAGTCATTTTACCTAAAATTCAACTGAAATGGTAATAAATGAATAAAGAATAAAAATCAAGGGAGAGAACGCCCCAAAGTCATTTCAAGTAGCAAGAGCACCTTCCCAATGAATAGCTTCCATTCATGTTTCCAGGGCCCTGAAGTTAAAAGAAAAATTAAAATTAACTGCATTTTCTATTGCCTTCCTGAAAATGATTAGGGAAAAAAAAAATCTTGTAATTATAAAATCTCATAAATTTTCAAAGTCTGAGGTTAATTCGGAATAATAAAATACATAAAGTTTAAAGATAATTATATTCCTTTTTCTCTGAAGAACACATTAGTTCATAATAAAAAAGAAATGCATATATAAACCTTAAAAATTACTAGCAAGTTATGGGGATTAGTTTAAACTGAAATTTTACCCTGTTATATTTCTCGTCCTATATAATAAAAGACTAATATGCTAATTGACCAAACTGCAGAACTATGGGTCGCTATGAAATGCACTGACCACCAGGGGGCAAACGCTCAACACAGGAGCTGGCCCCTGGTGGTCAATGCACTTCCCCTGGAAGTACAAATCAGCCAGAAGCCGGGCTCACGGGCTGGCAAGCGCAGCAGTGGTAGTGGGAGACTCTCCTGCTTCCGCGGCAGCACTAAGGAACCCTTGGGGTCCCATCAGATTTCCAATTCTTTGTGTGTGTGTGTGTGTGTGTGTGTGTGTGTGTGTGTGTGTGTGTGTGTATGTTTTTAATTTTTAGAAATAGAGAGAAACTTCATTGATTGGCTTCCTGCATGCTCTCTACAGGGGATGGAACCCACAACCAGGACATGTACCCTGACTGGGAATCGAACCAGTGACCTCTTGTTTCATGGACTGATGCTTAACCACTGAGCCACACCAGCCAGGCAGATTTCCAATTCTCAATCTTAGCATTTACTAACTAAATATTGTAAAATTCCATTTTAATAAAAATAACTTTTAAAAATGCAAACAATATATAAAGTAAACAATAAAGAATTAGTACAGTTTTAGAAAATATAGTTGAGCAGTTAGTTAAAAGTTAAACATATGACCTTCCACTCCTAGGTATATACTACCAAGAAAAATAAAAACATTTCTGTGCTAAAACTTATACACAGTTCACAGCAGCATTATTCATAACAGCTAAAAAGTGAAACAACTCAAACGTCCATCAACTGATGAACAGATAAACAAAGTGTGGTATAATCCATATAATGGAGTATTATCCAGTCATAAAAAGGAATGACATGCTATATGGATAAACCTTGAAAACATTATGCTAAGTGAAAAACACCAGTTATAAAGGCCACATGTTATATGATTTCATTTATAAGAAATGTCCAAAGTTGACAAATTAAGAAATACTAGTGGTTGTCAAATACTGGGGGAAGAGAAGATATCCACAGTTGGAGGAATAAGGAGTAACTTGTCTATGTGTATGGGATTTATTTTTAGGGTGATGAAAATGTTCTGGATTTGTTAAAGGTGATGGTTGTACAAACTTGTGAATATAATAAAAACTGCAGAATTTTTCACTTTCGAAAGGTGATTTTGCTGAAACCGGTTTGGCTCAGTGGATAGAGCGTCAGCCTGCGGATTGAAGGGTCCCGGGTTCGATTCCGGTCAGGGCATGTACCTTGGTTGCGGGCACATCCCCAGTAGGATGTGTGCAAGAGGCAGCTGATCGATGATTCTCTCTCTCTCATCAATATTTCTAACTCTCTGTCCCTTTCTCTTCCTCTCTGTAAAAAAATCAATAAAATATATTTTAAAAAAATAATAAAATAAAATTGGACTCCAGTGCTTCAATTTAAAAAAAAGGTGATTTTTACGTAAATGAATTATAGTTTAATAAAAATTTTTAAATGTTTTCCCACTCTAGACATCCAGTCTTATTTCTCAAAGACAACTACTGTTAATAATTTATTATCTTTTAGAAATTTGAAGGCATATAATTAGCATATAAATACGTGTGATAATCTTTTCCTTTTTTCAAACACACAAGAAAACATTTTGCACACACATTCATCCTACACCTCCAATCCTTGGCTCAGCGATCATTCAATATCAGTACATTCAGATATTCCTAATCCTTTTCAAAGAGCATTCCATGACATGAATGTACCAGTTCATTAGGCATCAGTCCTCAATTGAGAAGCATGTGGATTGTTTCCAGTCTACAGCTATTTTAAACAATGCTGCAGTGAACATGTTTTTTACAGAGATCTTTCCATACATGTGTATTTATAAGATAAATCTAAAAAGTGAAATTACTAAGTCAAAAATACGCGTATTTTTTATTTTGATTTTGCCAAACTATCCTCCAAAGAGGATAATTTTGCACAAATTTATACTTTCCCAGTGGTAAGTGAAATGTCTCCCCAATGTTGCATACCATCAGTTTTTTATCGTTGCCAATTTGATAGATGAAAAATAGTATCCTATATTTCTTTAATTTTAAGTGAAAATGAGCACCTTTGTGTTTTCAATTTTTTTCTACCTATTTATGTCCTTTGTTTTTCTATTGTCAATCTTTAAAATGGCAAAGTATACTAATGTCTATAAAAAGAATACTACAAATTTGCATTAAATAATTTCCATTAAATTTGTTTCTATCCATCTTCTCCTCCACTGAATCCTAGAGTTCAGAATTCAAATCTTCATTTGGATTAATTCTGTTAACTTACTAAAGCTCATGTGCAATGAACAAAGGCCACCTAATTTATTAATCAGTTTGTGTGTGGAATGATGGGAAGAGGAAAGATATATTATGAAGGTGGAATAAAATTCCTAAAGCTATGTATGGAGAAAGCAGTATCTTTGTACAACACAAATTTTATCAGGCAAGAGGCAAAAAAGACAAAAGTTGGCTGTTATCTTTGCCCATAATTCAATAGGCTCCACCTAAATATTTTGTTGGTCTACTCACTATAAACTGTGGCAAACATGGGTATGTAAAGGTCTGTATATGCTGGAGTGGTGGAAAAATTTTGGCAACAGTTGATAGCAATATTTTGTGCAGTTTTTTTTTTTGTGTGTGTGTGTGTGTGCGTGCGCTTACAATATTTCCCCAAAGTAATTTGTTTTAAGTGGTCTGTATTATAAATGCCTACCAGTGTTTTGATGTAGGAGTCTTATCCTGTTGCTTGTTTGGTTGCAGGGGGCACAAGACTGTCCAGCTGTTGAAGATGTCCTGTATTAATCAACCACTCATAAAACTTATTCTCCACAAGCACCTGGAACTGTTTCCTTTGATCCCTAAAATTGAAGTTGAGAGCAAAAAGAATGTAAACACACTAATTCATATTAATTTTACTCCAAGTGATTAGAAAACACATTAATGGAATAAATTGTAAATTATTTCTGGTTACCCATTTGTTCTCTCCAAATAAATGTTCTGTTCAGTTCTGTACATTAGACCATCACCCACCAAAATAAATTTAGTCAAATACAATGCCCTCCTTGTAAAGAGTTATCAATAGCCAAAACCATTTAGCTCATTGGATAGAGAGTCGGCCTGTGGACTGAAAGGTCCCAGGTTTGATTCCGGTCAAGGGCATGTACCTTGGTTGCGGGCACATCCCCAGTGGAAGGGGTGGTGGTGGTGGTGTGTGTGTGTTTGTACGCGCGCGCGCACACGCAAAAGGCAGCTGGTCAATGTTTCTCTCTCATCAATGTTTCTAGCTCTATATCCTTCTCCCTTCCTCTCTGTACAAAATCAATAAAATATATTTTTTAAAAAGTTATCAATAATTACATACTTTGTCCTACTATGGTTATTTACTCAGATATTTACTGAGGACCAAGTAATGCTGTGTAGTGTTCTGACTCATGGGGATAAATGTGCAAAGGAGAGGAGACAAGGCTGCTGTATTATACGACTGCAGAGGGCGCCATTCACAATGTGATCTGTGTAGTCTATGTGCTTTATGGATGTATATTTTAGTAGGGAAGACAGGTAATATATAAAATAAATATGATTATGAACTTAATTAGTTATAAATGCCTTCAATAAATATACAGAAGAGTAAGGGAATGGAGAGTACTGAGAATGCTATTTGGGTAAATTACTAAATCTCTTTGTTTCTCAGTTTCTTTTTCTGCAATAGGGTATTGTTATAAAGAATAAATGAGTTAATACATAGAAGGTGCTTAAAATAACACTTGTTATACAGTAAGTGCTCTATACATATTACCTGCTATTATGACCATCATTATTCTATGATATGAGACTGCCTAGTTGTAATATTATCTTGGTGGCTCAATTTATTATGCAAATAAATTGTAGAATGTTTGCAAAAGATAGCAGCATTATCACAATGAATTCCCAGGTAAAGCATGAGTTCTATTAGTGATCTTTATATTTTTTGGCGTGTAGCAACTTTGTATAGATAAATTCAGGGTGGGGCAAAGTAGGGTTACAGTTGTGAGTATGCAAAACAATTTATTCTTGCATTATTATTTATTCATTATTGTATTATATTCCATAAAAACTGTAAACCTACTTTTGCTCCACCCTGCATTTCTTTCCCTAATCCACATGATGAGAACAAAGAATGAATCCAGGAAATCCTGTGACTGGATCAAGTCTTTTTTTTTTTTTTTTTTTTCCAATCCTCACCTGAGGATATGTTTCTTTTTATTGATTCTAGAGGGAGAGAAAGGGAGAGAGAGAAAGCATGGATTAGGGAACATTTTTTTAAAAACTGGCATTAGTCCATGGACTATATAAGGACTAAGTCTGCAGTGTGGTGGAACCAGGAAATATGCATTTTTAACAAGCTCTTGAATGATTCTGATGCATGTCCAAGCTTGAGAAACACCATCATAGGGCAGAAGAGTAAATTAAAAACTAAAACTAATCCATTTAAGTATAGGATTATGTGGCATATGCTATATATAATCTTTCATTCATATAAGTTTTATATCTGCCAATTATACTTAAGCTTCTTTGAAAAGGGAAGTCTAATACTTGAGTATCCATTCACTCTCATCTCTCCAAACTGTACCTAAAATACTGACCTGAAAATACAAGCCTTAACTAAAGACATATTTAATATTTTTATTACTTTAGCACAGCTATAAATACATGCAGATTAATTTGCTTTCCATGGAATTTTACATAAAAGACAAATTATTACTTCTAGAAAATACTTACTTTGTCAGACGAGCCTCCTTCACAGTTTTCTGCCAGATATGTATTTTCTGCTCTCTATGGCCCAGTGCTTTCTGATATGAAGATGGAAGACCCCCAGGTATCTCTGTTGTGTCCCCTTCCATTTCAAAGGGAATAATAAATACATAGAATTCACAAGGTGGTAAGAGTCGGAAGACACTTGTGTCTCTGTTCTCTTTGCACACAATCATTGGATTGTCCCAATAGTTAGGCACCGTAGCAAGGCCAGTTTTGGCCATATGGTCCTCCAGCATTGGGTAATGGGTGTGAAAAGGGGCAAAAGTTACTTTGTGGTTCCCAGAGAGAATAAGTGGGCGTGTAGGTGTCAAAATGTGAAAGATGCAGCATGTTGTGGAAGACATGGACAAACGATGACAAACAGCAATGACTTTAATGTTGTCACAGCTGTGGAGGTGAAGAGCAGTCTGTACAGGGCCGAGGACAAAGGTACTATTTCTGCATTTCTCAATTGTCACAGACCTGAAAAAACAAAACAAAACAAAACAAAATAAAAAAACTGAGGTAAATTCCTGTGAATGAGAATTAAGATAAAAAAATATTTGAATACAAAATTATTCTCTGATGGTAAAAAAGAGTTCAATTCTAGTCCAAAGAAAATGTCAAAATATCAAAATACTATCAAGACTGTGCTTACCGTAAGGGAGAGAGCAGATATATAAAAGATTCATTGCAACGATGAATCTTTACGTGTGCCTCCACCAGAGTATCTGAGCTCTTGGCCAGTGTCTGCTTGTAAACCTGGCTCATCACCACCATGCGATGCATCCTAGGGGCTACATGAGTATTACAAGCAATCTTGGCTCTTTTGGTCGCCCCTTCAACTATTTAAGAAAAATATAAATGAGATAGTTTCAAATGAAAGAAAAATATCAACCATATGTTGTCACACATTTCTACATGTGTATATATCTAAAATTAGATACATATAAGATTTTTAAAATGTTACATCTGAGTATTGGGTAAAAAGGTGTTAGCTGTACTATTCTCTGCACTTTTCTGTATGTTTTCAGTATTTAAATTTTTATAAGGAATTTTAAAACTTATAATCCATTCAAGATTGCCTGGATAGAGCTAAGGTATTTTTCATGTCTACCTTTCAAATTAAATAATGTGTCTAAGGTCATATACTAGTAAGTAGCTTTGGAGAACTGAGCCAACTCAAATATCTTCTTCTTTAAAAGACCTTAATTTATTATCCATACCCTTAAATAATCTCTTTCAATTGCCATAACACTAATACTGAACCTCTCCCAAGTTATTTACCATATCATTCCATGAATTCTTTTTTGGTTTATATCTTTACTCCCAAAATCATATCTTCCTCTCAAACACAGTGCCTTGAACAAACTGACACTCAAAAAAATCTGTGCAGGTTGTCCTCCTAACACAGTCCCACTATTATGGGATTGGCTTTTTAGACAGCACTTCCCTGAAAGCCATCAGGACACCCTTGTAAAGAATATTGGCAATATGTGAAGTATATTATCCTTTGTCTTTTAAAATAATTCTTATTACCTTAAAAAAAAATACATGGTTGTAGAAAAATTTTAAGTACAAGTGGCAAAAAAATATAAAAATTACTTATTAATCTACATGTACCATTGTTAATATTTATACTAATAAAGGAGGAACATGTAAATTAACCATCACTCCACCAAGCCACACCCACCAGCCAATCTGGAGTGAGTATGCAAATTAACCCAATCAAGATGGCAGCTGGCCATGCAGCTGGAGCAAGCAGGAGGCTTGGGTTGCCCCAGCAATGAAGGAAGCCAAGTTTGCCACCCACCCTGGCCAGCCCTGGCCTCTGCTCAAGGCTACAAAGTTTCAATTATAGGAGATAAATAAATCCCAACAAAAATGGCAGCAGCCATGGAACTGGAGCCAGCAGGAGGCTTGGGTTGCCCCCTGTGATGGAGGAAGCCAAGCTTTCCATACGCCCTGGCTGCCCCTGACATCCACTCAAGTCTATAAAGTTTCAATTACAAAGATAAATAAATCCTAGATACTAGCCTCCACTCAAGGAGGTGCTGAAAAAAAAAAAAAAGAAAAAAGAAAAGAAAAACAGGAGTGGCTGGGACCTTGGGTCGCTGGGGGGTGATCAGGCCAGGATGGGACAGCAGGGCCATTGGGGGTAAATAGACAAGCAGGGGGGCAAGTTGGGGGTGAGTAGGCCATCAGTGGGGGTCAGTTGGAAGTGATCAGAACAGCTGTGGGGGGCAGTTTGGAGTGAGCAGGACAGCAGGGGGAGAGTTGGGGGTGAGCAGGCCAGTGGGGAAGGAAGTTGGGGGCAAAAAGGCCAGCAGGGGGGAAAATTGGGGGTGATCAGGCTGTCAGGGGGGCATTTGGGGCGAGCAGGCCAGCAGGCAGAGTGATTGGGGCAATCAGACAGGCAGGCAGGTGCATGGCTGGAGTCAGCAGTCCTGGATTGTGAGAGGGGCTGTCTGACTGCTGATTTAGGCCCAATCCCTGTAAACCAACAGTAGGACATCCTTTGAGGGGTCTCAGATTGGAGAGGGTGCAGGCCGGGCTGAGGGACATCCCTCCTGTGCACGAATTTCATGCACCGGGCCACTAGTCTCTATAATAAAAGCCTAAATGACCATTATGGTGCAACAGCCAGAACAACTGGTCGCTATGATGCACACTGACCACCAGGGTGTTGACGCTCAATGCAGGAGCTGCTCCCTGGTGGTCAGTGTGCTCCCATAAGGGGAGGGCTGCTCTGTCAGCACTGAGTGCAGGCAGTAGCAGGAGCCTCTCCTGCCTCCGCAGCAACGCTAAGGAGCAGTGAGCCGAGTGGTAAGGAGCAGTAAGGAGGGAGGGATCCTGGACTGCGAGAGGGTGCAGGCTGGGCTGAGGGACCTCCCCACCCCCAGTGCACAAATTTTGTGCACTAGCCTCTAGTTTTAGTATAATCCTAAGAGGTTAGATATCCTTTTTTTCTACTAGCCCCTACTATAACATTTAAAAATTTATTTGTTCCTATATTCTTTCATCAACATTAAGAATTATGTAATATTTCCTATGTATTTATGGGAAACTTACATATCTGAGAGACTTTGATCTCATACTAAAGCAATAGCTCAGTTGAATATAGAATTCTTAGATCACTATGTTTTTGCTCCAGGTTCTGTAGTTGTTGATCAACCGTTTCTTGCATTATAAAAATTTGAAACAAAACTGATTTTTTTCTTACATTTTCTTGCACAGAACCTATTTTCTCTTTATCTTTAAAATTCAGAGATTATGAAAGGATATTCTAGGTGTCTTTTTCCCCAATAATTTTGTCTGACATTTGCCTGAATATAGGCACTTTCTTCTCTTAAAACTTATACCTGGGCCCCAAGAAGTCACATGGCACCTGAACCTATTCCTTTAACCATAGCTGACTATTGAAAATAGATAACGGATGCAACCAAAGCTAGATTCTCTCTATGAAAAATTTAAATTTCCTATTTAGAGATATCTAGTCTGCTTGTGTTTGTAGAGCTAAAAAGGATCTGAGGTTGTATAACTGCAGAATGGCCAAGTTCTGCCATGATAGGAAGACCTGAAGCAAATAAGCCTATGAGAATGAGAGGAAGAAAGAATCGAAAAGAGAAAAGCAGAACAAAAAGAGGACTAACTGAAGTTGGAGTTTCTGTTAACTGAAGTCAAAATGTCCTGGACTAATAAAACCTGTGAGACTATTGCTGCTTTGAGAGAAAAAGACATATATTCAGAAGAAAAATGTTCCTCTTTTCACTTTTATAGTAGCAATATTTTTTAGGTCTTCTACAGATGTGTGATTATTAATACATCAGAAAACCCTAAGTCCTCTAAGTTGTCATTCAAATTTAATATAGATTAAAGTATTAAATACCTTGGTGAGCCCAAGCCAATTTCTTTCCAGACTTGAGGCAAGCAGAGGTACCAAATGGATTCCCAGTCAAACAGGATCTCAACCAGGCTTCCAACTTATGGAAAGAAAAGGTCTTAGAAATCTTTGAGAAGCCACTTTCTGCATGTAGTGGTTGCCACAGTGCAAGCTCATGAAGTGGGTATATCTTCCTGGTTCTCCTCACTGCACCTTCAATAAGAAAGCTGAGTGCCACCACAGCTTCTCTTGAGACTAAACTAGTATTAGTCGAATGAGACGATGCAGTGAGTTGTTCTGGATCTAAAAGCAGCTCAAGGAGATCTGACAGATGATCATAGACAAACGTTTGGTGACTATAATCATTCCAGTTCTAAAAAACATTAAAAAAAACCACAACAACACTTAACAGAATAAAGAGATTCTATTAAGACCTGAAACTTTTATACTTTAGTTATTTCATATTTATACTTTGCCTCATCCCCAACAAAGAATTTAAGGTGCCAAATAAACCTTATAAGACTTTGTGTGTGTATGTAATAGGTATATACAGATTCTTTCTCCACCTTATCCAATTCAAAATACTACTAGTTAACCTTTAGTGTGTGCCAAGCACTAAGTGTCACACAAAATTTAACATATTTAATCCTAACAACAATTTTAAAAAAGCTCATTTTACAGATGAGGAAATAGAGATTTAGAAAAGTTAAAAATTCCTGGCTGGTATGGCTCAGTTGGCTGGAGCCATATACCCCATATACCAAAAGGTGGGAAGTTCAATTCCAGTCAGGCTTATACTTAGGTTAGGAGTTCTATCTCCAGTTTAGGCACATGTGAGAGGCAAGCAATCCATGTTTCTCTCTCACATCAATGTTTCTCTCCCTCCCTTCCTCTTTCTAAGACCAATGAAAAAAATTTTTAAATGTTAAAAAACTCACCCAGGGTCACACAGCTAGCAACTAAAAGTTTCAGGTCAAACATAAAAATAACTTTCTTGAACATCCATTTAATGAAGCATTGGATTTCTTCAGTTACCTACTCAAATTATAAAATATTTTAAATTCCACTGGATAAAACAAGGCAATTAATCTTACAATAACTAAATTTGAGAGGCTATAACTTCAGGAATAAGCTTTGAGTTAGCAGATGTCCCAATGATGTGGCTTACTCATTTGACAAATTTTTTTTGTGTGTGATACAAGGAGTGTTAAGTGATGAATTATAAAAACTAAATAAGACATAATTCCTACTCTCAAGGAACTCGAGTCTATGAGTGAAAAGACAATATAAAAAAATAATCATAACACAATGAGATAAGACCTGTAGCAAAGATCTGTAAAGATATTCTATGAGTATGAGAAAAATGAATTCCACTTGGGGGTAAAAAATCATAGTGGTTGCAATGTGAATTGATTCTTGATTGATGTTGTTAGGCAAACAGACAAGGAAAAAAGGCACTGGAGCACAGGAAACAGCATATGCCAAGGCCTATAGAAGTAAAATTACCTGCTGTGTTCAAAGAACTGGAAATTCTGGGTGAAGAAAGCATGCTGGGAAGTGACAGGTTAAAAAAGAAAGTTAAAATACTAGCCAAGACCAATCATGAAAGGCATTGTATAAAACATTAAGATATCTGGGCTTTATTTTATGTGCCAGGGACTTAAACCTATTGTCTCAATAGCTATACCTTTTTTTCTTTTTTCTTTTTCATAAACTCTCATTTGGATGCCAAAGGAAATATCTAAACAGGGCTATCCACAGCCTCACCTATTCTTCCTCCCTTTTGTTGCATCTCCCTCCCCAATAGCAGGCACAGTGGTGGTTCCATAGAGTACAATACGAAATGCCAATGATAATGAGAATTCACTGATGGAGTTTGTATAGAAGTGAGAAATAATCCTTCTGCATTTGAGAAATTCCAGTATAGTGGGTGGACAATAGACTAACAGCAAGGTGACAAAGTAGTACCTAATTATAGAAATTAAGGCCCCCAAGCAAAAGGGCATTAAGGTCTATATAAAAGGAAGAAAAGGGACAGACTTTTAAACAGTTATTTGGAGGCATAATCAGTAAGACATAACTAACGAGGTATGGGTGATGAGAGAACATGGGTGGACTTTCACCTGCATGGGGAATACAAATTAATTCACATAAAGGGTGATTGTACTGTAGGGACACACAATCATCTCCAAAACTGCATACAGGTAGTTCTTATCCAAACTATAACTGGAAAGCCATCTTGAACCTGGTTCTTTCTCAGGGGCCAGCGTCACTCTGCATGTCTGTTCCATTCTCTTCTTTTCTTCTGATTACCTCAGAGTTTCTAATCCCTCATAACTCCAGGTCAAGCATGAATTTAATGACTATTCTGGTCCCAATGCCACATGAGCTGTCAACTGAAGCACCCATCACCAACTTATTTTCTTTGCTTTCTGGGAATACTGATTAGGCCAGGTCATCATTTCAAGTCAGACCAATTTTAAATACATACCAATGAATTGGCTACTCTAGTCAGGTGTCCATACCTGGTCTAATCAATTGTTGGGAGAGGTCACATTATAGCACAAACTAGAATCACCACTTACTGGTTCACAATAAGTCTCAAGCTAATATATTACTGAATTCTCACAGCCTTTAAGAAATAGGCTTTATCATCCCCGCTTGGAAAAGAGAAGCCTAGAAAAATTAACTGAATTGCCTAAAATCATGTGATATTAATTGGCAGAACCAGATTTTACTAGTAATGGAGGCTACTTAATTCAAAACACCACCTCTAAATGGTGCTCATTCAGCAGGCAATGACTGGCATCTCTAATGCATCTGGACTTGCACAATCTAAGTTTAAAGTAGAGATAGGGCATCTTATATCAAGAGAGAAGTCTAGAATGGAGAAAAACTTAGGACCACTGAGATATAGGAAGTCATGGGAAGAAAAAGAATTATGCTGAATAACTGTGTCAAATGAGAAGACAAAATTTGCAGAATCCTAAGCAACAATGGCTTGTAAGGGCCAGAGGGAAAGCAGCTCATGAAAAAGTGAGAAGAAGCAGAAGCAGAACTAGGAGGCAATACTATCATGAAATATAAGGGTGAACAGATTTCTTTGAAAAAGGAGATTAATGAGCTTGCACACAATAAAAATATTGAGATCTACACTTAAAGTTGGTCTTTTTGTTTTTTTTTTTTTTTTTAATATATTTTATTGACTTTTTACAGAGAGGAAGGGAGAGGGATAGAAAGTTAGAAACATTGATGAGAGAGAAACATTGATCAGCTGCCTCCTGCACACCCCCTAATGGGGATGTGCCTGCAACCAAGGTACATGCCCTTGACTGGAATTGAACCTGGGACCTTTCAGTCCACAAGCTGACGCTCTATCCACTGAGCCAAACCGGTTAGGGCTTCACTTAAGGTTTAAAAAAAATACTTTTACATAAACAGATAAATTTTTTTTAATAAAAATAGAAAGAAGAAATAAGATTTTCTAAAATTCACAATGTGAGACAGTTAACCATTTGTACACCATAAGTGTCTAAAAATGCAAGTGGCAGATCTTTTTTAAATTAAATTCAAAATATCCTGGCAGTTAATTGGTTAAATTTAACTTCTAGAATATCACATCACAAATAATTACATAAGCATGCTGAGCTTAAGTATACTTAAGCATGTTACCTAAACATTTTTAGAAAATTTTTCCGATTTCAAAAGACTATGTAAACACTCCATCTTTTTATTTATTCTTAGTCAAATGAGCAGATTCAAATTCATTAACATTTTCGAAAATGGGAATGCTAATAAGAGTACAATGAATGATATGTCTGAAAAACGTGATTTTTGTGTCAATGAAGGAACTGAAGTCACTTGTCTATTTTAAGATTGCACACCTTGATTTTGTTTTATTATTTGGAAAAAAAGTGAAAAGCAAAGCAAAACAAAACAAGCCAGAAAATCAATGGTTTTTATAAGTAATCACAACATAATTTTTAATGAAAGCAAATAATTTCTCTTACAGAGAAAGACACCAAAATTAAATAGTACCTTATTATGACAACTGGATTTTTCAGTCAGGTCAGGAGATTGAGATCTGTTTCTGGAACTAGGCCATTCTTCTCCAATCAAAGATGTCCTCAGGGAGACTTTATTTAACTGTTGTATGTATAAGAAGAGCAGAAATTGTAGGGTGTCCACTGAGAGCTGTCCAAGAAAAAAAAAAATGATTAGCACAGGTCCTAAAACCGTATCAATCACTAGGTTTACAACTAAACAGATATAGTAAAAAAAAATCCACAACAGTTTGCTGATCCTAGGAAGACAAATGTAGAAACATTGCTAGCATTTGCTATGTATGTCTCTCATATACAGATGTTGCAGTTTCTTAATCTAATTAAACTGGAGTCACATGGAAAGCTGTGTAGCATCTATGGCCAGATATTCTCTCCCAAAATTTATGAAGAAGAATGAAGTAGATACTTTTAAAAAGCATATTATTGCAGAAGTTTAAAATTACAGTTAAAAAGCACCTTAGCAAAAATGAATAAATAGTTTGATAGATAAAACGAAGACACAGAGGTCAGTTAACCTAAGTCTCACATACAGACTTATTAAGAAAGTTTAGGATATCAGTGCAATACTTAGAATTGTATGTAATCTTTTTGTGCATGTACGTATTGTAGGGAGCAGGCCTCAGGTGTTTCATCAAATTCTTAAAGGGATGTTTGCTTGACTTAAAAAAGCAACCAGAGCTGGTCTGATAGATGTTTATAAGTGATTTCTTATTTGAAGAGTGTGGTTTGAAACTCAGCTTTTGAAGCTCATGATTATCCTCATGTATGCATTTTCATACACATGCAGGAGAGACAAAAAAAATACAGTAATAAACCTGGCTAAAAATACTTATGTTTACCCTGATTCCAACCTGGCTAAAAATTGCTATTGCTAAGGAATTGAAGAAAAATTGATGTGAGAGAGACACATTGACTGGTTGCCTCCCACACAAACCTGGACCCAGAAGCAAACCTGCAACCCAGGTATGTGCCCTTGACGGAGCCCCTTAGGTGCATGTTGACACTAACCACTTCGCACCACCGGACAGGGAAAACATTTTTTATTTTTCTTACTAAATTATCTGAGATATCTGTAGATTCACATACAATTGTAAGAACTCAAAGATAAATCCCATGTACACTTCACCCAGTTTCCCATCTTGCAAAACTATAGTAAAATCATTACAACTAGGATATTAACTTTTATAATCAAGATACAGAATATTTCCACCAATGCAGAATCCCTCATGTTGTCCTTTTATAGCCATACTCACTACTCTCCCATCCTCACCCCCACTTCCTTAATCCCTGACAACCACTTATTTGTTCTCTATCTCTATAATATTGTAATTTCAAAAATATTATAAAAACAGAATCATACAGTATGTACACATGAGGGGACTGGCTTTTTAAAATCAGCATAATTCCCTAACTATATATACTTCCATTAACTATTTGTTATATTGTCATTATTCTTTCATATACCTGCCTCCTCAGAGGACTACAAGATCCTTCTCTTTCTCATTTTTATATTGTTAATAAGAATAGAACGTTGCACATAGTAAACACTCAAAATAATTGGAGTTTTTGTTCATGTCTCTCTCTACAGTATCCTCTAACAGGGCTAGCATATAGTAGGCACTCAGTAAATGTTTGATTAATGAATAATCGTAATGCCCTTTCCCTTTTGGTTCTTGCCAAACTTTTTTTCAATCCTCAAAACCTTGCTTATATATTACCCTATGTGGCAAAGACTGGCTAGAATAAATGCTTTTTCTTTTCTTCCTGGGCACACAATTAGATGGCATTTTCCAGTCTACTTTCAAGCATCCCCAAAACTCTCCCCCCCAAAAAAGTAAGAATAGAAGAGAAAGACTGTGATGTCCCACTGGGGAAGGATGTGGCAAATTGCATTATGTTTGCAACTGTTCACTACCCTATCCTTCTCGAGGTTTATAACCATGGAATTTTCCTTCCGGTGAAGTAGTTTACTTTCCCCCTTTGTTGATTTTAGGAATGGACATAAGACAAAACTTTAGCCAATGGAATGAAAGTGGTCATAGTGTATGTTACACATGAGTTCCCTCCTTTGTTGCTCTTCCCTCTGTCACAATAAAAGAGCTACCCAGAAGCTATTTTTTCAGTGTGGGTCCTCAATAAGAACAGAGAGCCAAGCCACAGCCTGGAAAAAAGCCATACCTAAGATGTAGTCTACATGTAAAATAAGCAAGAAAAAAAAAACACCCTTTGTTACTGTAAGCCACTAGAATGCCATTTTTGCTTGTTTGTTTTTAACTACACCAAAGCTGACTAATATAATAATGGCTCCAAAAGACAGAAGCAGCCTGGGTCCCTGAGTCATTGCTTGGACAATAAAAGCCTAGAGATGCTGTGTTGCATAAATGAGAGATAAACTGTTATTGTGCAAGCCACTGAAACGCTGGATTGCTTGCTACTGTAACTAGTCCATTCTGATTAATATACTATCTCTGTGAAGCCCTTCCTGATATCAGAATCAATCATTCTCTTCTCTATTCTATTTCTGTATGTTATGTATACTTTTAATTATTGTACATTTTACACCATTAAGCAGCACTTTTTTACATACCAGCTTTCCCTACTAGTCCATGAGCTCCATGAAGCCATGAAAGCATAGATGCTGTTCTAATCACCGAATTCCAGCGCACAGCAGATGATCACTTTAAAAGTCAGGTGGTTCATATCAGTGGTTCATAAGCACTCATTGACCTCAAAATAGTTTTGTTTTTTTTAAAAGATGTTTTTATTGATTTCAGAGGGGAGGGTGAAGAAAGAGATAGAAACATCAATGATGAGAGAGAATCATTGATCAGCTGCCTCCTGCACACTCCACACTGGGGATAGAGCCTCAACCCAGGCATGTGACTGGGAATGGAACTATGATCTCCTGGTTCATGGACTGACTGATGCTCAATCACTGGCCACACCAACCGGGCCACCTTTTCAGGTCAATGAAAATATTTCCCTCCTTCAATTACAGGGTTCCTGTAACATTGCTTTGGAAGCAGGTAAATAAGGATGGCTAACTAACGACTAATTCATTAAGTACTGCCAAATTGGTTTTTAAAAACTTCAAAAACACAAAGGGATTATAATGGTCATTGACCTAAAAAAACCCACATACTATACAGCTAGTATCGATATATACATTAAACATTTTAAAATAAGATACTTTAAAAGTTAAAAAGTTTATTTCCCAAAGTAATTACACATACATATAAAGCCATACCTGATTTCTCTGCCTTTCGACTTCATCCTCAGATGTGCAGTTGGACAGAATCTCAGACCATTCCAGGCGCTCTTCCGCTGTCTTCACTGCAAGACTATCAAATATTTCAAAGTAAAGCCACGCCAGATCCTTAGCCAACTGCAGCTTCCCACATGCAATGTGCCTCCAGGTTGACCAGTACAGGCGTGGGTAAGCTCCCTCTGTGGCCCGGGTTCGCACATAGGTGGATATCTTCCTGAGGTAGTGAAGACTGAACTTGGATGGAGGGGCGACCTGTAAGGCACCCACTATAAAGGGTTCCGCTTTCACCCAGAGGAGAATTCTGGACTGATCCATATTATCTCTAAGAACATCTGTGCAAAAAGTCTTCTTTGCATACCTAGGAAACAAAATTTCTTCACAAATTGACTTGAAACAAAACTCCTTATACATTTTTTTTTTGTAAGGTGACCCCCTCTCCTGAACTGTTTTCAAATGTACTCTATCATTTTAAAAAGCAGATCTAGATCAAGAACAGAATGGATTTATTTCAGTTCTCATTACTATCTATTTGAACAAAAAAAAATTTATGACAAAAACAAATTGTTTTATTTGAATTGTTCCAAGCAGTTGTTTTAGGAAGAGTGTATAAATGCATAAGGTATGAGTTGGAAGAAAAGAAGGAATGGGAAAAAGAGTCATCCTATCACAAGAAATCTTGCTCTACCAGAAGAGGAACACTAGTCAAAATTAAGGGAATAAAACTTCAGAGTCAAATCACATATATAAGGATGGTTGTTTAAAGATGTGAATGTGTTAGCTGCCCGTATATATAAGCTCAATATAAAGCACTAACACAAGATGGCACACAAGAATGCTCATGTAAATGTAGGTTGCTAAAATAGATCAAGGAGAGTTAAAGCTATTCTTGGTAAAAGGCATAACCTATCATGTTCAGGTGCAATATTTTTAGATTTTGTTTGTTGTTTCCTTGTTATAACAATATATGATTTTTATAAACTATTTATAAAGTCTCTAAAAATAGAAAAGGAGAAAATCAACTACAGTCCTGCCACCAAACAGAAACTAGTTAATATTTTCCTGTACTCACTTTTCTGTTTTTCTAGACTGGATGTTAATTTTGAATTTTCATAGTTGTGATAACACCATATACATAATTCCCGATTATTTTAAAAGCTTCATAACACTCTACATAAATATACCCCAGCTTATTCAACTCTTCTGCTTTTAGACATTTAAGTTTAAAACTTTTCACAAAAACAAGATAGGCAAAATATTGATCTCTGTTAAAGATGGGTCATGAGCACAAGGGGGCCATTTCCTAATCTATTGTAATGTTAAAAACCCCCATTATAAAAAGTTTAAGTTTAAACCCCCATTATTTATGTTCACTACCATAAATAATGCTACAATACCACCTTTCTGCATTAGGATTATTTCCCCCCAAAATTTTTCCGATGTGCATTTGTGAAACTAAGTAACTGACATTTCTGAGGCTCCTGACAAGTAAACTCATTGCTTTCCGAAATGATTAGATCAAGTTGGACCCTCATTTGGCCCGCGGTATTCCCTTCACTGAGTACTCTTTGCACTAAGTAACATCACTTTAAAAAAAATCTTCCTTATGTAACTGATGAAAAAAGTTTTGTTATTATTATATTTTGCATTTGATTCTAAGAAAATTGTGCTTCTTTGGGGAATTACCTGTTCAAAAAATAATTAACATCAATTGATTGTTTACTACAGTACGTGCCAGCTAGATAGCATGCTAAGTATTTTTCGCACTTCACCTGTTTTCATCTTCACAACCACTTGAAGATTCGTATGATTATCCCATTTTTAGATGAAAAAAAAAGTTAAGGGATTTATCCAAAGTCACCTACTTAAACTGGCACAGTCTGTCTGACTGGAGAACTGTGTTGCTTACAGTTGTACTTTAAGAACCCAGTTTTGAGGAAAGCTCTGAAAAATGGAAGCGGAGCCAGAAGAGAAATACCAGAATGAATGACTTTAGATGTGAGGCCATAGAAAGCCATGTTCCAAGTGCAGGAACATAGGAGCTGGAACCCAAAGGGCGGGCGTGAGAGGAGGATAAATGGCAGCTGTCTTCCAAGATGAGAATGGTCTGGCGTAGTTCTGAACAAAACCACATCATGAAAGTGACTTGAGGAAGACAGTCAGTCCCCCCCCCCTACCCCCTCCCACCCCCCGAATGGTGCCTCAAGGGTGCAGATCCTGCAGATGAACCTTCTATAGGAAGTCAGGGGCTCCTATAGAAGGTTCCCTACATTCGTAAACATAAAACTGTCATTATCATTGTTATGACTGATCAGAGCGTGCTGACTTTTCCAGCAGCTATGACCTGCCCTCAGCTTCGTGGGCAACAGCGAACGTCCTCGTCCCGAGAGGAAAGGCTCCCGGTACCAGAAAGCGGCGGGTCTGACCCCAGGTCCCAGCATGCCGGCGGCGTAAGAGCCGCCGACAAACCTAAACTGAGGCTTAGGTTTCCCTCAGCAAAAACTACCCCCGGGGGAGCTGGGATTAGGGTTTTTTCGAGGGTGGGGGTGGGGAGGGGGATCAGAGGGTGGCCCCGGGCGGTCCTCCTGAGGCTTCCCCGTCACCTCGGACGCCGTCCGGGGTTGGAAGCTGCGCGGGCCGCCCGAGCGCTCCAACCTCACTTCAGGACAGAGAAGGCGACCGAGAACTGGTGAGTGCGAAGGCAGCCCCCCCATTTGGGGCCTGAAGCCTTACAGACCCCCACTGCCTCCCCGGCGCCGATCCAGCCGCCGTTACCTGCACCGGCGGATTCTGCTCCGCCCCGCCGCACCTCGGTGCGCCGCCGCCGCGCCCGCTCGCCGACCGGCCCGCCCCTCGCCCGCCCGCCACCGCCGCCGCACACACCGCGCACGCGCGAGGCCTCTCACCACTGAGAACTGGAGGACCGTATGGCTAGAGCGGCCGACCACTTCTCAGAGGTCAGGACAATTTGGCGGAGGCTAATGAGCTTCCTGGATGCTGGGGCCTGGAGTCCTACGCAGCCGCTTTGTGTGATCGAGTCTTTCCACCCAGGGGACTAGGAAGTTTTCTGTTGCTTCACAGAACTGTGGGCAGGCAATAGCTGCTGGAAATCTATAGATCAATAATAATAACAACGAGAAGGACACACTTTGATCAGTAATAACAACGAGAATGACAGCTTACATGTTAGAGTGCTTACTCTAGGTGGCCACTGTGTAAAGCACCTTTATGTGTATTATCTAGATTTCCCCATAGAACTCTTTGGTTAAGTACATTTATTTTATTGACGAGAAAACTAGGGAGTAGAGGAGTGACAGTAATACATTCCTAAGATCACACAACAAGACTCGAGCCAAGATACAAACCCAGGCCTTCATGAAGCTTTTTGGGATTCCACCCAGCAGTAGACATCACTCCTCCTTTTAAACCTCCATTTCATGATTTTTAACCATTTTCTACTTTCGTAGTTCATTTATGGTCTCTCTAGGTGTGGAAGATACAATGGTTAAAAAAAAAAATGCATTTAGTTCCTCTTTTGTGTAGCTTTTCTCCCCTAGAAGGCATCTTCCTGAAGGCATAACCTTATCTTTCTCTAAACTCTGTGTGATTCAAGGAGTAAAGAGCAGGTTGCACCACTAGTAGCTCAGTGCCTTGAGCAATTCTCTCTAGGCCTTTGTTTTCTGCAACAGCAATTATTTGTTGAGCACCACTGTGTGTCTGGCACAGTGCTAGGCATTGGAATTATAGTAGTGAACAAAACAGTTAAGGTCCTTGTTTTCTTGGAGTGCATACTTTAATAGGGAGAATAGATAATACATATTAAGAAAATCTGTGTTTAAAAGGGAGTCACCCATATTAGGATCTTAGGAAAGAGGGTTTCAGGCATAAAGAACAGGAATGAGCTTGGTGTATTCAAAAAAGGGAAAGGAAACCAGTTTTGCTGGGATGTGATAAGGAGTATAGAGTGAGGGTACACAGATCATAATAAGGTTTTGTTTTGTTTTTTGAAAAAAAAATTTCCAGCATTATTGAGACATATAAGGTTTCATAATTTACCATAACGAGTTGGAATTGTATTCTAAGTGCAATGAAAAGCGATTTGAGACCTCTGAACAGGGGAATGATATGACCTGGTTTGTTTGTAAGAAATCATAGCAGTGGAGTGGGCAGGAGGGAAAAGAAATATTAAGAGTGGAGACCCCAGACTAATTAGGAGGCACTGGCCAGGTGAGGGATGATGTGACTTAGCCCAGAGAGGCAGTGGAGAGATTCGAGTTATAGTTTAAAGGTAAACATTTGGATAGGGAATACAACACAGGAATAAAGGAACAGAGAGTTTTGTACTGAACAATTAGGTGCTGCATTTACTGAGAGGAGCGAGAAGTAGGCGGGTGTATGGGTGGGTGGGAAATAATAGTTATTCACTGAGTGCCTGGTTACTATGTGCCAGATGCTGTGCTAAATGGGTTAAAGATTCTCTACTATTAAAATGTCACAACACTGTTGGTAAAAAGATGTCCATAATCAAGCTTCAGCTCAGACTGGCGGGTGAGGGGCGTGCGTTTCTCACCGCTAAATTGTGGTGGACGTTGAATCTTAAGTTCAGTCTGTCCGCCTGCACGGCCACTTCTCAGTGAAACCGAGACCATTTTCTCCTGGGCTGTCAGGAGAAGGCAAAATAAGATATCTTGCTGAAACCGGTTTGGCTCAATGGGTAAAGTGCAGGCCTGCAGACTGAAGGGTCCCAGGTTAGATTCCGGTCAAGAGCATGTACATTGGTTCCAGGTACATCTCCAATGGGGGTAGGGTGGGGGTAGTGGTGCAGGAGGCAGCTGATTGATGTTTCTTTCATTGATATTTTTAACTCTCTATCCCTCTCTCTTCCTCTCTGTAAAAAAATCAATAAAATAGCCGAAACCGGTTTGGCTCAGTGGTAGAGCGTCGGTCTACCGACTGAAAGGTCCCAGGTTTGATTCTGGTCAAGGGTATGTACAAGGGCATGTACGTTGGTTGCGGGCACATCCCCGGTAGGGGGTGTGCAAGAGGCAGCTGGTCGATGTTTCTCTCTCATCAATGTTTCTAGCTCTCTATCTCTCTCCCTTCCTCTCTGTAAAAAAATCAATAAAATATATTTTTAAAAATCAATAAAATATATTTTAAAAAAACAAATAAGATCTGCTAAACTAGACGTTTGCAGGACCGCGGACTTGGAGTGATTGTTCCCCGCCCACAACGCACAGGTCCCCCCGCCTCCGCATCCACCAAGTAGTTCCATATGAATGAAATTCCAGGACTGGTCACCGACTCAAACTTTCCTCCCGCCATTGGTCAGAGCTGGAGGAAAAGACTCGTGATTGGTGGAAAGTCAGAGGAGGCGGGCGGGGGAACTCCTTATACCTTAGAAATGCTGTTTTGGCGTGCATTTCTCTACCGCCCTTTTACGTAGTTTTCCACGACTCGCGGGGAGTCGGGGCAGAGCGGATTCCGGCGGCGGCGCGACTCTCTGACGTCCCCTCTTCCAATTGGCCGCCCGCGCCGCCTCGGAGGTGAAGTGTACCGCGCTGATTGGCTGCGCGGAGCCGGCCGCGTGTGATGTCCGGAGCAGCGATTGGCTCTCCTCTGCTGGGGGGCTTTCTCGCCCCGGACACGGGACTCCCTGGAAGTGGACTGGCCGGAGAGAGGGGGGCCGGCTTGCTTGCGTCGCTCCGGGCCCCCGCACGAGACCCCGGCGTGAGGCGGCCTTTCAGGGCCCGGTGGGCTGGAGAGCCGCCGACGCGGCGCCGGAGGAGGAGGAGGAGGCAGTGAGGAGCGTGTTGGACAGGGGCCGGCACCGAGGCCGGCACGGAGAAACCATGGCCCCGCAAAACCTGGGCACCTTCTGCCTGTTGCTGCTGTACCTCATCGGCACCGTGATCGCCGGGTGAGGAACGGGTAACCCGCGTGGTACGGGGGCCCGTGGGTCAGTCAGTCTCGGCTGGGACGAAGCTGGAAGGACGAGGAGGGAGGGCATTGCTCTGGCGAGACAGTGGGGCGGAGGAATGGCTCGTGTGGGCCAGGCTGGTAAGGGTGGAGAGGAGAGCCATGGGTGACACGAGTGAGAGGGGCTGAGATCCCAAGGCCCTGGAGAGCCGGACTTGTCCGGAGGGGTGGGAGTTGGATGCCAAACAGGACGCGGGGCCCCGGGGGCTGTTGAGCTAGAAAAGAGGAGCCTGCCGTGAGCCACTGGGCGAGCTGACATTCAAGTGGGCGGTGGGTCAGTGCCAGGCTGAGTGAGGAAGTTCGCCGAACAGGTAAGGAAGCCATGCTGGGACTGAAGGAAGTTCAGTTGAGTTGCAGACCCTTTGGGAAGTCCTTGTACCGCTTCTTGACATGTTGAGCCTCAGCTGTCATCTGGCCTCATTGTCTCTCTCCATGGTACATCTTTGAGAAGTTGAATGGTATTACGGATGGGAAGAATATTTCCCGCTACTACCACAGGTAGCAGACCGGGATCCTAGCCTCCCCACCCACACCCCACGTAGGAACTATGTGACCTTGAAGGAACCACCACCTGAATTCACATCCGTAAGTTGAGGACACTCATGTGCCTCCTGTAGGAAGGGAGTAGGACCACCTAAACTCTTGAGGATCCTTCCAGCCTTTAAGATCCGTGATCCTTTGTGCCTGCTGACCACAGGGTACTATATGCCAGGCTTATATTTTAGAAAGGCCTTAGATTCTGTCAATTAATAGGTTGCTCTAAATGGAGCAAGTCCTACCTAGCAAAGTTTTAAAATGTGCTTGTTATTCTCTTAAAGGCTTCTGCCCCGTGCATATATACTTATACTTTGTCATGTTTTTCTTATAAAACATCTTAAATTTTAAAAGAATTTAATTCCTAGGAAATACTTTATTGTTTTTGTTAGTACTTTTTATATTTACTAGTAAAGCACTGAAGTACACTAAGGTATTTAAACAAGGAATCAGTATAAATATTTAATACTGTAGCTTTCTACTTCAGGCTTTCATAAAGGAGTCTCTTGGGCACTGTGATACTGGTGCTGAATTATGCTGGCTCTCTTTTCCCTATATTTTCCTGAGCTGTTACTTAACCATTTTTATATTAAGTATATGCTAAGTAAGTTTTATTCTTTATCCAGTTAACTCTTTTGTTATTAATTTTAGTGAACCTTTCTTTTTATTTAGTTAGTTCTTATCTCAAGATATATAAAGTTTTTGCAGATTTTTGGGGCCAAAGATAAAGCACCTAATTAATCCTCACAGAACCCTTATGGGTGATAATTTTCAAAACGATGTTAAATGGTTTTCCTGAAGTGTGACTAAAAGCTTATGAAATCGTTTTTATTTTTAAATTAAATTTATTGGGGTGACGTTGGTTATTAAGGTTACATAAGTTTCAAGTATACAACTCAATGGCATATCATCTGTATATTGCATTGTGTGCCCACCACCCTAAGTCAAATCTTCTGTTATAGAGCACCTGAATCTTGGTACCCCAATGCATGTTTCCCCCCCCCACTACATTATAAAATATACCATCACTGCTACATTAGTGTGTCCATTGTGAACCACTTTCTCATCTGCTTTGCTGACAGAATGCATTTTCAGAATAACCTCTGGTGGCTAAAGTGAGTCTGGCTAAACAAATTGATTTTTGTGAGCATGCTTATTTATTCATTTCATTCAGTGAACAAAAAAATATTTTTATTTTTTTGATTTCAGAGAAGAAGAGTGAGAGAGAGATAGAAACAGTAACAATAAGAGAGACTCACTCGTCAGCCCCCATACTGGGTCTTCCCCTGACTGGGAACCAAACCGTAACCTCCTGGTTCATAAGTTGATGCTCAACCACTGAGCCAAGCCGACCAAGCTCATTCAGTGGATATTTATTGATGTCTTCTATGGGCTGGCTACATTCCCTGCTCTGAAAGTTTATTATAGTTTTAGTCTATCTTCCCATTGGCCCTTCTTGCAAAGATTTTCTTTGTAATTAGTTGGTTCCAGCATAGTGTCTTGCAAAGAGGTCTGTGGATCTCTAACTTATCTTTTTTTAAAAATTTTTTTTATTGTTTAAAGTATTACATATAGTAGTACATATATCTCTTTTGGATCTCTACCTTATCTTGATACCCCGCTCATGCCATGCATATTTTTCAGCTGCTGTGACTTATAATATCCTGCATATGGGCTTTAGCAACTGTCTATAATTAAGACTTTACTTAGACTAACTAATATAACTATTAGCAATGACTGCAAGATTGATATTTTCTCTTTCAGCAAAAAGCACCACAACTCATACATCTAAACGGGTGTTATTCTCTTTTCTTATTTGGGCTTTGGCTTAACCTGTATATTAACCTCTGAAGTTAACTTCAGTCACTTCATCTTTAGCATTCTTACAGTTCTATTGTTAGTTGGAACATTTATGTGATTTTGAGTAAAGAAGATCATCCATTGAGATTCTTATTTGATCTTAAGAAACAGTCAAATGTCTTTTGAAGTCAATAACAGGAAAAGTTATTGGTTGACAATAACATGTAAATATAAAGTAAAAGCATGGTTTTCTTGACTGACAGTAGTTCTAAGAGAAGAATGCCACAGATAGTTTGAATAATTATAGCAATGCTCAAAAGTAGATAGCCTCTCGCTGTGATTACTTCAATATATAAAACTCATTACAAATTCTGGTGTGTTCTCTTTTTAGTTATTATTTTGTGTGTATGTATCAATATATACCTTCATTTTCCTGCCCCTTTGCTCACAGGCAGAGAAAAAAAATGTCACTTTTAAAAATGTACTACATAACTCTGTAATGAAGTATCCTCTACCCACTCCCCAGGAGAGATTTCTATAAGATCTTGGGGGTGCCTCGCAGTGCCTCTATAAAGGATATTAAAAAGGCCTACAGGAAACTGGCCCTGCAGCTTCATCCTGACCGGAACCCTGATGACCCACGAGCTCAGGAGAAATTCCAGGATCTGGGTGCTGCTTATGAGGTGAGTCAGGAAAAAGGGTAATGTATTAATAAAACATTGCATATGGACATTAGCAACATTCTATACTTAAGATACAGAAAAAACTGTATAATACAGGAAATACTCTTCTTCAAGCCATTTCTTTTTAAAAATAGGCTATAAATAAAAGTAAAAGTAGTATTTGATGTTATGTTGTACTTTAATGTTTATAAGTGTCATTTCCTGCCCTTTTTATATTAATGTTTGTTTTAGTAAGGAGAGTAATGTTGAAAAAGATGATTGATGATTGAAATAAAAGTTAGATTGATGAGTGAATGAATAGATTAATCACCAAGCAACCAATGAGTCAGTTTGGGAGCTGGAGCTAGAAACAAAAAATCTAAATGAAGATCACAAATCCATATGGACTAGATAAGTAGCATACAGGGCAGTTATAAGATAAAGCATCACAGTGGATATTCTGCCTCCAATATTGGAAATCAATAGGGTTTGAGCAGAACTGTGACAAACTGAAGCTGCCTTGCTACATTTCAAGGGACCAGCTAATATTCAGTCCTACTCAGTTTTTGCCATTTATAAATGCAAACACTGCTACCACATAATTTAATGTTTTAAGAAAAGTGGAAATCCAGATATTTAAAGTAAATTCTCCTGATTGTAAAATGTTGGTAATTAATTCAGTTTAAAAAATTTTATTCATACATTTCAAACAAAACATCTATGGTTTGAATTTGCAACCTCTAATCTAGCAGTCAAGACACTTTCAGTGTCCTATTTCATTCACCCTTCACTAGGACACTATGAAAATACAGTAGAACTGGACACATTCTTATTCCTATTTTCATTTTTAACAATACTGAGGAATATTTACTGAATGTATAATAAATCATTTACTATTTTAAAAAACTTATCTACAGAACCTTTCAACACTATGGTGAAAAAAATTTACAGATAAGCTTTGATAATCTTTCATTTACACTAATAAAAGAGAAAGATGCAAATTTCTATACTTTCGAGATGCCCACCAGCCAATCAAGAGTGAGTTTGCAAATTAACCCAACAAAGATGGTGGCTTAATTTGCATACACAGGCTCTGAGTGGCTGGGGGCAGTGTGGGAAGGCAGAAAGGTGACTAGCTTGAGTGAGGCACTGCTGGCAGCCAGGGGAAAGAAGGCCCATTCTTGCACAAATCTTTGTGCATTGGGCCTCTAGTCTGTTAATATAGGAGTTAGGTATTTTGTATGTGTTGCAATTCATCTTTCCTCTAAAAATAGAATAATCGATCTGTGGTTTTTTTCCCCCCCAGCTTTATTGAGGTGTAATTGACAAGTAAAATTGTAATATATTTACAGTGTTCATCATAATGATTTTGTTTCTAATCCTCACCCGAGGATAATTTAATTGATTTTTAGAGAGAGTGGGAAGAGAGGGAAAGACAGATAGAAATATCGATGTGAGAGAAACACATAAATTGGTTGCTTCCTGTACATGCCCTGACCAAGGTCCAGACCAGGGAGGAGTGTGCAACCAAGGTACGAGGTATGTGCCCTTGACCAGAATCGAACCCGGACCCTTCAATATGCAGGCCAATAATATCCACCGAGCCAAACTGGCTAGGGCCATCATAATGACTTGCTATATGTATACATTGTGAAAAGATTCCACCCATCTAGTTAACACATCCATCACCTCACATATTTATCGTTTTTTGTGAGAATATTTCAGTTCTGCTTTCTTAGCATATTTCAATTATACAATAGAGTGTTATCAACTCTAGTCATAGTCACAATTTTCATTTCTAAAAGGGCACAGGAAAAAAAAAAATTAACT